CACACACACACACATTCACCTACAATATGATAACCCTGGGATGATTAGATTGAATAAGTACTGTAAAAACACAGTCATTGTAAACCATTATAATGTTGACGACATGCCCGCTAAGTGCACAGAGAGTGTAATAGGTGAAGGCGGGTTGTGCCAAGGAAATGACAGTTTCCACTGGAACAGTGGAGGAAGCTGAAGCTCTGGAATTAGCTTCCCTGTGCAGACTTGTCTTATTAGTGAACTTGTACCAGAGGACAACATACAATATAATGGATACACAGACTTGCTGGCTTCATTTAAGAAGACATTTGCCTTTATGTGCATGCAATTTAGGCATGTGAACTTTTAATTTCCCACTTTGAGATTCAGTGTGTACATATTATTTGTGTGTGTGTCTGTGTGTGTGTTTGGACCTCATCGTAAAGTCAGTTGTGTTCCATAAACTTTAAAGAAGCAAAATCTGATTGTAGTTGTTACTCACAAACTAGTACTAGTACTAGTAAAATAAACATTTAATAAAGATATACCCTTGTTTTTTTTTAAGTAGCATGCTATGTGACAATACAACATTTTAAGCAGGGAGGGACCCCTACTGTCTGTGATAGGTTATTGCTGCAAGAGCTTTAGATGTAGAGGATATTAAAGGTGTTGTTTAAAAAGTTATGTTTATATTTAGTATTTCTTACCAGAAGGCATTATGTGTGTCCTTGAGGTCTAACAAACAGGTTGAGGCATGTTCTTAATCCTAAACAATTTGCGAAGATGATTTTTGTTAGAAGTTTGAAACGTACTTTACGTCCATGTTTAATGTCAGCTGCCATCTTCTTTCCTGCCTTTGCTGGTGCTTTACTGTGTTTATTTGTGTGTCCTGTAGATCAGTGAAGTAGAATAACACCATTGATAGGAATGTGCATCAGCTCACCTGCATGCAAATGCATTCTCAGACAAAACAGGGACCCATGTGGTCAGACCCCACAGGGTACCTTTAAGTCTCTATGACACCCGGTTCTTTCATTTACAGGAACTGAATCAAGTACTTCATCGTTTATCAGATGTTGTAATCAACCGTACGATGGCTACCTCATCAGTGCCTGGTCTCTACCGGCTCTTATTTTTCTTATTTGGTTTAATGTGTCTCCAATTTTCACCCCATTCCCGCTCTCAGGTGAAGAGGAGCAGGGGTCCATGGCAGAGGTGTCCTACTACTCCTATGAATATGACCCAGACTCTGAGCCTTTCCTTGCTGATGCAGATGGAGGGGACCATTTTGACCTTCCTGAAGGTGGAGGGGATATAGAGCAGAAGGTGCTCCTGCCAGCAGATACCCAGTTACCCACACTGGACACAAAAAACACCCCTGAGCGATGGTACGAGCTGCTCAATTAATGTTTTGTGTTTGTTTTGTTTTGGGTTTTAATCAGAATTTTTGAGTTACTTCCCCGTCTATAACATTCTGTAGCATGTATTCCTACCAAAGCAAATCTTAAGATCCTTAATTTGTATAATGGTAACACCTATATTTACCCTACTATTCCATGTCAAATGGCTGCTGTGAAAAGGTCTGTTAGTGTTTTCAATAGTTTTGGGACAATAATGAAGCTCTCTATGGCACAAAGGAATATTAGTAATGTTATCTGGCTGGTTACACAGACAGTACCTGTTGGTAGGATCATTGAACTGAGGTCTGACGTCCCATCTAAATAGCTATATCATTTGGTCAGAAGTAGTCATATCAATCAACCAATCAATAGCTTTTACGGATCATTATTTTCAGGTGAACTGTTGTGGTAGAGCAGTTAAATAGCAGCCTATCCAAAGGTTCTGGTTACAGATTGCTCAGGGATAGAGATTTTTGAATTTCTGAAATGATCCTGTAATGAAAGTGTGTCTTGTTTTCTTGTCGTCCACAGAAACGCTGACTCAAGCCATATCCACCTCCAAATTGTACATTATTTGTGAATATGCTAGTGAATCGAAAGAGAAGAAAGACTTGGGACTTTGCTCAGCCTGAAAGGAAGAGATGGTGGAGTCTGGAGAATGAGAGTGTGACGTGGAGTGTATGTTATGAAGTGTTTTGAGTGGAGTCTGTGTGGATGCATTTATACATTTGTTTGTGTGTGTGTGTGTCTGTGTGTCTGTGTGTGTTTGTGTTTGTGTGTATGTGACTGTGTGTGACTGCTATGACGCTAGTGTCCTCCAGACTTTAATTTTTCTTCCTCCAGACTCCTAGTCACCAATAGGCACCATAGCGTCTTTGTTATTCACTGTACTGCCTTTATAATCACTAGAAGAAATAATCAAGTATTTATGTTTGTAATTACACCTGACTTTAAGCAAAATATTTTGTTATATTTTCTATCTGTGGTATTTATTTGTAGCTAGAGGTCATATCATTTTTATTTTTATTTTTTTTGTCATTGCCCGCCCATACACTCTACTTTTTTGCCATTGTGGTTCTTTAAGTTCAAACAAAGGTATTGTGCTGTCAAAGGTATTTTTTTTTCTTTCATAGCAAGCTTTAACCCAATTATTGAAATTCCTGTGCTGGTGTCCTGCTGGAAAAAGACATATGCTAACCACATGCTTTACAGAAACATAAGCTCAAATGTTTTTCATTTTTAAGATTTTTCGTGGGCTTTTTTTGCCTTTATTAGACAGCACAGTAGAGATTGGCAGGAAATATAAGAAAAGAGAAGAGGACTGACTGGCAGGTCTCTGGCTGACTCAAACCACAAACTATAGTTACAAGATACGTGTCTTTCAGCCACTAGGACACACAGGCCCAAATGTTTTCCTGAACCATCGTACCAAGACACCAACATCATCTACTCTCAAGTCGTCTTTCACCTTACCTACCTTGAGATTTGATTGTACAGTTCATAAGCTATTTTGTTTTTGTTCAATTTTGATTCGTGAAGCAATCAACTTAAAAATCAAGAATGAAGTTTTGAATTTCTGTAAATGTACCAAATTTGATTAAATGTAGCCCCTATTCATATCAAATATTGTGCTTTTTAAAACAAACGAGAATAAAATTTGTATACAATCCAAGGTTTTTGGTTTTGTTGCCTTGACGCTCTTAACTCTAAACTTAAAAGGTTTTGATGCTGTGGTTATTAAGCAGACTTGTTCACGTGTCTAGTCATTAATATGGGTTATCTGGGTTTAAGTCATGGGTTTTGCACTTCCTGCTTCTGTTTTAGCTTGTCCAAAGAAATACTTTGACCTTTGTTACTTTTTAGAACAGTACGATCTCTGCATATGCGGCGCAGTACGTGTATCTGCTCCACTAGAAGAGGAGCTGCAGTGCAGTTGTTTATGAAAGCTGTGTTGCTCCATTTCCTTTGAAAGGCTAGTTAAGTCTGGAGATAATTTCCTGTCAGCAGCGAGCTGTATTACAACCCTGCTGTTTCAGAGGGCCGTATGCTTTGATAACTGACTCTCTGGCATGCTACTGTGTTTGAGGCAGAAAAGCATGTACGTGTGTGTATCCGTTTATACGCGCTGTATACATCTCTTCAGTTTAAATGTGCTCCGTATGTGTTTGTGTAACTGCTAACAACAGATTCGGGTTACCAGGGCAGCAGGGGGGGAGAGTCTGAGCCTGTTAAAGTTTAATGTTTGTTTTCTGCACATGTCAGTTGTCGACCCTCTCAGTTACTATGGCGTCTGGCAACTTGGGCCTTTAAACGAGTCCTTCAAATCCCAACTCAAATCATCGCTGGGATTAGAGGAGATGAAAGAGAGCTAAACTGTAACTGCATCTGGGTAGTTTGACCTCAAGGTAAAGATGAAAAACCAGAGGGTTGTATGTTGGCACGTCAATGGGGCCTACCAAATAAAGGTACTTGGCCTGTAACTGCTCCAGGTGTGCTGCACTGTATCCGACCTGGCATCCATAAAGAAAATGCAAACAACAGAGTGCAGTGTCAAGGCAGTGCTGTGCATGTACTCACATTTCAGGTAAAAGTTACAGAACTTCACAAAAACGTCACCCTCTGAGCTTTGAGCAGATGCAGCGGGATTGGAAAAACTTTGTTCCTGTTGTGACAAGAAGCCAGCAGTGCAGGGGACCTGGCTGCAGCACACTATCCACAGCAGTCTCCGTAGCAACCGCATGCATGGCTGAAGAGTGATATTGCGTCTCCACACTGCGATGAGCAGAAAGAGTGAAAAGAGAAAGGAGGGAGAGGGGGATCTTGGTTTCATGGTTTGCGGGGGGGAGCTAGCATTACATGAGAGTGAATCGGAGTGATGACATTGTTCCTAAGTACCAGCTGAGTGCACCTATACATCCACCTCTGTGGAGGAAGGGCTATTCACCTGTCTGAGCCACCACAGATGGAGCATTTGGACAAAGGGACAAACAGGCAGAGAGAAAAGCCTATCCAGTGTAGAGTCTGCTGTGCTGATGACACTTTGATATGTATTAAGCGTGTCAGGTTTCCTGATTGTTTTCAGAGGAAATTAGGGATTGATTCTGGATCGTCCAGGATTCTGGGTTTCAGTGTCAGCCAGGGCATGGGTGGTGCTGGATCCATGGAGAAATAATACTGTGATATCTGAAGAAAGACCACCATGGATGGATATGGATTAAGAAGTCAGGTGCACTTCTGACGCTCATCTCACGATTGAATTTCAAAGTATGCAGCCTGCCTCGTATCTGGCTGAAAGGGCAAATTACCTGCAGCTTTTTTTGAAAATTATTATTTGTCAGCCATTATTTCTTTAGCCAGCGTTTGTTGATACAATTGACATGCTGTATGAATATTTTGGTAGTATTGCTATCATTGAGGGATTCCTGAATCATCCACCTCTTCTACAGTGAGTCCAATGGAGAAAAAATACCCAGTAATTGCAGGAAGAGAAAAAGGTAAGTTCATCAATGGTAGATGAGTCCTTATAAAAAAAACTACTCCATCAGTATAAAACTGTATGCCCCGTGTAAAGGCATCAATATCATTAGTTATGTTCCACTGGGTCATTTTTGGTCACTTGTTTTTTTAATTTATGATTTCAATGGGGGAACAGTGACTTGAGCAGACTACAGGATTTCTCAGTGTGCAGACCTGCCAGGACTTGCTCTCATCTGTGAAAAATGCTCCCACTTGCTCTGCTTGTGCACATGCCCCTGAACACTTGTATGGTGATGTAATGCCTTGCCCTAGGTTGTGTCTTGATGTGTGCTGCGTCTTGCTTTCTAGCTGTTTGTCTGACCCAGTGAACACGATAGATCAACAATCAGATGAAGTCAGGCTAACTGCTTCTAGTTATAAGGTCCCTGAGCAGAATGATGACATTTTACTTATACTGGAGTTCATCTGATGGTCAAATATGTGGTCACAGACATTACATACTTATTATTACTCACTGACTGATGCTGAAATATATTTAATTGCACAGAAGCTCAGGTTTCTATACACAAAGCGACAGAAGAACTGTTGCTGCTTTAAATCTCCCTCACTGCATACCGTAAATATATTTTATGTCATATAACGTGTACGTGTGTGATATTTACCCTTTTCTCCAGGGCCAGGACCTGGACGCTATGGGCTACCTCCCACCATTGGATTTGTTGGCCATGATTTTACCAAGCCAACTAGCCCTGCCTATTCTTTCCATGGCAGGATGAGTGACAATAGTGAGTTCTTCATCTCTTTCTCTAACGTTTACATTATCATATGTAGATGCATTTGTTACAGGAAACATGTAATATTTGTATAATTTAACACTTTGATATTGTTTTGGTCAAAGACATAAATCTTGCCATAGCTGATAAACCAGCACAGCAGGAACAATTGTGTATTGATAACTACATCTTTTCAGATTCAGAATGATTTAATCTCCTCAAATACATCATATGAGCCAAGTCACTGAGTGATGTAATGTCAGATTAAAGCCAGTAGGGGGCAGCAACACCTCATAATTCTGTAGTTATTTCTTACACCTTGTTTATCTAGCTGGTTTGCTTTAGGACCACTGCATGATCAAACTGACAAGAGACATTATATAGAATTGATCATAACTGTGTATTTAATCCCTGCAGTGTATTGTATTGACTCAAGTCCGGGGCCTCGGTATCATATTGATGCAAAAATCACTCGTTTTGGACGGGATGGCACACCTGCATACTCAATGTTAGGCCGAATGAAAGCAGAGAGTAAGTTCCAGTTCATAATAGTAAAATATGTGTGTATCATTTGTTTAACACATTAATGTATATGTTGTAATGATGAACTAGTAACTAATAGTGCTGCTATTGTGACAGGATGAACCCTTGTACACAAACATTTGTTTTTGACATTACTTCAAGAGTGTCAGCTGTAGCAACTGAAAATCTGACCCTCATTAAGAACATATGGTGTTGAATAGATGGTTTATATTATTCAACTGTTTTCTGTTCACTAGAGGAGCTATTCCAGACACCTGGACCAGGTGCATACAGCCCAGAGAAAGCTCCACCATGCAACCTCCAGCGCAGACCCCCGTCCTACACAATGAGCTCTCGAACACACTACAGGGGAATCGATTCAGTACCTGCGCCTAACAAGTACTGTCTCCCTCCGCTCATGGGCCCTCAAGTCCCAAACAAACCAGCCAGTGCAAGCTATACAATGTCAGGTAGTTACAGCACAGGGGGGCCGTCTGTGGATTTAGCCAAGACGCCAGGGCCTTGCAGGTACAACAGTACGGACCCAAGTGTTTATCTACCCCGACAGCCAGCATTTTCCATGCTGGGACGACACAATTTACCCAGAGATGGCACCAAGAAACCCGGGCCTGGAACTTATAATCCAGAGAAAGTGACTGTTCACAAGGCTCGGGCACCAGCCTACTCCTTGGGCATCAGACACTCAGAATTTGTTACTCCACTAGTTGTCAATGTTTCTGACTGAACGTCACCCAGTCCAAAAAATGACGAGAAAAATAATTCTGTAATATGGTAGGAAAAAAAAATCATGAGCAAACATATGTGAAGAAGTACATTTTATTTTGTTCTTTCGGCAACAAAGAACTTGTTGAATCAACCATGACTCACTGTCGAAATTTATAATATCTAGAAATAATATTATGTACACAACACAATGAAAAGTTTAAAGATTAGGAAAGAATTTTGTTTAGGAAAATCATGGGCTTGAGAAAAATAAAACCTGTATGACCATTCAGTAAATAAATCAATCTGACAAAAGACATTTAAAAAATGTATTAAAATATACAATTGACAGGCAAACTTTCACCCTCATATTGTTTATAAGGTTATCATTCACAGTGGAATCAAACTATTTGCCTCTCATTACCTCTGAAAATTGAGGGAGTTTTAAAGGAAAGAAAAAACACACAATACAACTAAGGGGTTTCTACACAATAATAAGAACATATGTAGAGATGTATGGTTCCAAAGACAATACAAATCAGCAAAGATGATAGCAAGCATTCAACAGATGGGTCCCATTTAATCCTTTGGGAGAGGTCTTCTGAAAAGCAGTATGTGTGGCTCTGGAAAGTAAAGCAAAGAAGCATCGGTCAGCATCATCTACAGTGTCATGCACATAGAGCTTTCATCACAGTCTAATGGCACATGCTAGGACGTATTAATGGATAGGGTCCGTTTAGCTATATTTGTTGTAAAACAAGAGCTCTCTCTCTCTCTCTCTCTCTCTCTCTCTCTCTCTATGGATTCAGGTATCTGACTTAGATCAAATGGGTATTTCCAAAGTTGTGGTATTTTAAGAACAACGTTTCCCATCATTCACTGCAGCTCAGCAAGGAAAACAGTCCAGGGAAATGCAAAGGTGGAATCCTGTACTTAAAACACTGTAAGTCAGATACCTGAATCCATACATCTGCTTGGGCTGAGCATTAAAATGCCTTTTTGCACAGAATAAGAAGTGTATATTTTGTCCCTCCCTTTGTCTCCTGTAGATAGGGATGTGAAGATATATTTCGAGTTGCAGTAGTTAAATCTCAATACAAATATGTGATGATTCAAATCTGTGAAATGAAAAATGAATTGCCATCACATCAATCACTGTATCAAGGCGCAAAGGAAAT